GTTCGGGCCCGAGGGTGCATGGTGTCAGAAGCACGGCACAGCTTAAAGTTCCTCGTTGCCCACTGGCCTTCTGCTAGAAACGCGAATGCGCAGTTTGAGAATGTTGTCCTTTTTCGCTGCGACTGGCAAACTGTGAGAGAAGACAGATTCGGAAAGTTTCCGTAAGAAGAGCAAGGAACGAGAAGCCCCCCCCTGTCGGTTTAAAACTACTGGCTTCATCATTGGAGGAGATCGTATACCAGCGCTAGCGGCCAATGAGCATTTGCGGACTCTCAGATACGGCCAGCTCAGGTCCTATATCAATGCTTCTGTGATGATGGCGATCGCCGCAGGCAGCAAGGAACTCATCCTCTGTACTTCACCCTCGGCCGCGAGTTTGTCGGACCTCTGTGCCGACCTATGAGTGAGATGTTTCGGTCTCGACCTGCATGGAAAGTGAAGGAGCGAAAGAGTTGTGGCTGCAAGCCCCTCACCCGAGCACGGGTTACAGTCGTCATGTTTGCAACCCTTGTCTCTAATACTAACGCAAAGCATCTAGTGAATCTAGTGGGTTGCACGGAATTGAATTCAGAACATCCCAGCCACAAGTCTTCCTGCCAAGAGCCTTGGAAATTAGGGCGCTCTTGTCTCCAGGTCTGAACACCCAGTGCTGGTTCATCGAATTTGTGTGCCCGCCCGATGTGGGCAGCACCGCGCAGTGCGGCCACTCGACGGTTCAGCACTGCGGCATTGACACATGTAGGATCGTAAACCATGGAAGCCGCATACCCGAACTCAAGATGCGACAAGCATGATGTATGATGAAGCTCGGATGCTCGTCCTCTCACCTCATAGCTCTAGGGTCTAGATGTCTAGACAAGCAGAGCGTCCAAACATGTACACGTCTCCACAGTAGATGCGACCCTGCTTCGGGCGTTCGGTCGGCGGGGGTTGGGATTTCCTGGGTGCCGTGGTCTTGTTCCTACCAGTAGGTGGTGGACGGTGGCCGGCCCGGTGCATGGCCGCTGGTCTTCTGCTGCCGCAGTTTCCCTGTGCTGTTTGCGTTTTTCCGGCGGGACATGGGCCTTTTCGGTCCTTCGTTCTCTGGTGCGTCGCTCCTCTCCTCGGGTGCCGCGGTGCCTCCTGCCCGTCGTCCTCCGTCGTCCTTCGCTTCTTCGGTTTCCTCACCGGCCCTGGCAAGTAGCGTTCCTGAACAACTTGTCACCAACAGCAATGCGAAATCTAGGAAGGACTCGGCTCTGCAATTCTGTCCGGTTCAGTTCCGGCATACCAGAACCTTGCAAATTGTAAAGTCAACATGGCTTGCCGCAAAATGGCAGCGCGCCAATGCAGGACAGAGCCCATGAGCCAAGCCATGCCAAGCCATGATTTTCGATGTCCCAGTCTTGGCTCGTACCACTGTGGGCTGCTGTGTGATGCGAATCCTTCAGTGAGCTGCGACTCAAACCCGTGTGAGTCTTTCAGTGGCAGGGAGCATATAGGGCCTATAGGGGTATGGAGCAAAGGCATACACTGGAAAAGTACTCGTAACTCGTATTGGTAGCAGCGTCAGGCGAAGAAAGTCATGCAGCAACAGTCACACTAGCAAAGGCTCTCAAGAAAGGTCGAGCAGGCGAACGGAGAGGCCAAACTTAAGCGCGTGCTGCTCCTAGCAAGCTGGTACATTCTATTGCTTCCTACACTGCCCCGCAACGTCTCATCTGAAGCCGAGCTCGCTCTAATCCCAAACCCAGGCAAAAAGCCGACTTCCTGCACCGCCTGGTCGGTGCCGCCGGAGGCCGTGTTGCCGTTGAAGCTTGACATGGTTTAGATTTTGCACAGTCTCGCCGAAGCCAAACGAATCAGCCGACGAAACCAGTGTGCCCGTCCCTTTACCCAAAGGCAGGTGCGAGGCATGGCAGGGATGCAGCAGTTCTGGCATACAAGCCCAAACAGCCAAGTCCGTGAGCAGAGTTGTGTAGAAGACTTCGATACGCCCCGACATGTCGTCATGTCACACTTTGAGCGATCATTGTCAAAGGATACAGCAATTCCCTTATTTGTGCCCATAACATGTGATCAGGTATCGGTATCGTTGACATGACTATTTTTGCTGTTGCTATCCCTATCACCGTGAGAATCCTGATCATCGTTAACCTCGGGAGCGTCGGATGTGCAGTGTTCACTGCGCCTCCAAGGGTGTACTGGATTCTCTTCAACAGCATGGCGGCCTACTTCTTGATAACATGGGCGAATCGGCCACCGGGCAAGTCTAAAGTCGAAGGGCTGAGAGTTTCGCAGATGAAGAGGCAGGCACAACAGAGCTTCTTGCTAGATTCCGTTGAATGCGTGGTGCCGAGTCCTCGGGGATCGCCACCGCCGAAGCCCCAAGAGCTTTTGAGGTACGCTCGTGCCGGCTTCGTTCTCGCCTACACCGCGCTGCAGCCCTTTACAAGTACAGACGGAGACTGAGCCGGGCAACCAGCTTGCACGCACGTGTGGATGTGCATACAGATGTATGTACACAGCCAGGAAGGCTGGCTTGCATGTATCTGCGCATGTATGCATGTAGGTAGGTAGGCAGGCAAGCAGGCAGGCAGGAAGGCATGCAGGCTTGCAGGTAGGTAGGTATCTATGGGTATACAATATAAATATACACATACATACACATATCTAGTTCTGTATCTAAGTGTCTATATCTATACCTATACCTATATCTAGTTGCATATGAATATCTAGCTCTATCTCTATCCCTATCCCTATCTCCGTCCCTGTCTCTATCTCTGTCTCTGTCTCTTCTCTAGCTCTTCTGTCTCTGACTCTGTCTCTATCCCAACATAGTGTATGTATATATATATATTCTTATATATATATATGTACATCTTCATCTACATCGATTATCTACGTGTGTGTATGTATGTATATATATATATATGTATATACACACATACCTGCAGATCCTTGCCCCAGGTCCTCACCGCTGCCTTGGTGGTCTCGGGACGCTTCCCGTCCCTAAGCCTTCCGGGCTGGAATGCCCTGGGCGGCTTGGGTGTCCTGAATCGAAGGGAGGGGAGCTGTGGTTCGATTGAAGTTTTCGGGTTTTAAGGCAGAGGGTCTGGAGTTTCGAGATTCTGCGAGAACCGCAAGGGTGAATAGATGGGATCTTCGGGCCCAGTAAGTATTGGGCGGTAAGGTTTTGGGTTTCGGGCATCGAGCGGTAGTCACCGGCAGTTGCTTGCTTTTCAGGGGTGCGCTTGGCTTACGTGTTTTGATGCATCAGAAAGACAGGTGTTCAGGACTTCTGCCACTGAGGGGTCCATCAGATACGCGAGACAGTTTATGACACTGTGGGAGATGTCATACTTCTTACGCTATAAGCCTGGGACACTGTGACACAATGAAAGACCACACGACGATTTGCTGACCCGGACTGCATCACAGCCCTAAACCCTTACGCATAGTAAAGCGGGCGTAATCATCACTGTAGCTTGAAGAAGAAGAATCTGATGGTGGCGATGAGAATTCGCACTTTGAATTGTACTACTTATTGCTTGTGGTGGTTCTACGTCTGGGTTTGATTGTGCTTGCTGTGTTCATGTTGTCATTCAAAAAAGCAGTGCGAGCTATGATGGCAACATTAGTCGTCTTCTTGTTGTTCGCGACTGAGCAGTAGTACTGCAGTCTTGCAAATCTCTGCTCTCGCAAGCTGAGGCGTCGTGGCTGGTATGCTGCTCCCTGGCGGCAAAGCAGCGCCGAAAGCTGATCCAAAACGAGCCTGAGCATGCTCGTTCTAGTGCATCCTACTCCGGCTTAAGAGTAAGAGTGTCCTTCCGCTTTACCTTGACAGGAACCCTGAGCCCGTATGACGCGAGGTTGTCAGTCTCACCGTCGGGGGCTGGAAAGTACCCGTCAAAAGCATGGATTTCTTTGGCTGATTCGGCTACGGAGCTAAGCTCGATCGCGAAACCCTTCTGCAGATCGTGGACTTGAGCGCGATACTTGCGACGAACTAGGAGGTAGCCTTCCCGACTCCACGACGACTGTTTCTCATTCGAGGTGCATCCTTTGGGACGGCAAGAGGCAACACGAGCACGACACTGCGGGGCATGAGCGCGAGGCAGGGGCGTGAACACTAGACTGGAAACAGTGATCCCCATAAAGAAAGAGATGTGAAAAAAACAATGAATCTTGGGCCTTACGCTCAGTGCAGGCGGGCATTCAAGTTTGAACTGCAAAGCAGAGTGAGCTTGGTCATAGTGTTGCAACCAACACCCTCGCCCAGAGAGTGCCAGATCACATCCTGCTCTTCGAGACAAGTGACAGAGTGCCTTTCCTCCTGTGTGTAGGTACCTGAAAAAGCGAGCTAGGGACCTGATTGCCTTGCGGGCAGAGTTGAACCGAAACATCTAAACGTCCACCATTGTGAATATTGGCGGCCAACAGCATGACAGGTTCCACTCAATCAGGCGCGTCAGGCATGGAGCAAGTCTCGATTTCTTGCAGCGAGTAGTGCGAAGTCACGTGATGCCATCAATGCGCAGGTTGTTCAATGGATGGGGCCATCAGCAGTCACGTTGTAAATGATTGGGGGGGTTGAGTTTCTCTTCCGGAAGTGGTTCGCAGTTCCAACGAGATCCTTTTGCCTGACTAGAATGACTAGAATCCGAGCCTTGGTCAGCTCAGTGGCCTGGGTGCGAGTTGTCTCTAGCCCATGCCGCGCTTTAAACTTCGGATTCACTCTGACCATGACATGACTAGCGGTCAGGGTAAGTTAGGCGATTGAATATCAGGGGCTGGGGATACCGTGTTGGATTTGAAGTTGAACGCCTCGTCTTTTCGAGAGGTCCTGCCAGATGTCTGTGAGCCGTCCTGAAGGCGCAGGCTCGAGCTTGATGAGGGCTTGCGGCTGGTTCGGTCCCCTCCCTCGCCTGGCTCCCTTGCTCTCCCTCTCTCTCTCTCACTCTCTCTCTCTCTCTCTCTCTCTCTCTCTGTGCCAACGGCGCGGAGGAGACTGTGGATGGCTTCGGTTGTTGCGGTCTACGGGCCACGAACCTTCAACCCAGTGCTGAATCTGGCGGTGCTACAACACCCAGAGCATGGACAGCCTCTGACTGATGTCAGCTTCTCAGATCGCTTACAACATGTGCCGGGGTATCAAATCAAAATGGGGAATGACGCAGCTCCTCATCCTAAGAAAAAGGTACAGTGTGGCGAATATGGTTCCCCGTAATTGCGGTCGAATATCCGTGGATACATGTAATCCAGGCACAAGATCGGCGGATGTCGGCTGCACGTGGCGAGAATGATGCAGGCGAGCTGATTTCCAGTGGCCTGTGTGCTGATGTTGTTCCCAACTCACAGTACTTGACGCTTGGACCCTAACCCGGCGGATCCTGCCAACGCCCAACAGACTGAAAATCTACAGGCAAGTGTGCAAGTGTTTGGGTTGGACTAGTTCAGGCCGTGGTCCGTGGTTGACGCAGTCGAGTCTGCAGCCGTTTGAATCACAGTGCATCGCAACCAACATGGTCGTCTCTATGTCGAAGATGATGCTGTGGCTCGCAGTGCTTCAAGTCGCGGTTGCCCTTGAGGAGAATTGCGTTTTGCAAAGCCATCCAGTTGCTGGGCTGGACTTCTACTTTTCATCTCTTGGATTGCAGAAGGGTTCCCAAGACGTAGAGACGTAGTTGCTCGTTTTGCTGGCGTGCTCGCACGCATACTGTTGCACTCACGTCCCCTGAGCTGTAGTTACCAGATGTGCCAGGTCGAGATGGGGAGCTTCTCTTAGAGGACAGGGACCTGCTTGCGCCGAAGGCGAAGGAGGCGGAAGCCGAGCCGGCTGAGGAGTGGACCCTCGGAGTCTTGGGTGCCTCTTGGAAACGTTTTGTCCAAGGCCTGTCTTCAATGTTGATAGATTCTGATGGATGTCCCCAAATCTGGTTGGTTCTGAATCAGCCAAGAAATGATCTCACGCTCATGGGGCGACGAAAGCGACATCTGTGAGCTGCGGCCAAGAGAGAAGCGCAAAGGTGCTCCTCCAGGTCGCCCAGCGCTGGCACCGACAAGGATGCAAAGGGCCATATTTGTTGGACGCCGCTCCACTTCGCCGCACGCGAACGGCACGCCGACTGCGTAGAGCTGCTGCTGAAGACGGGTGCCGGCTTTGAGCAGCAGCTCCACGCAGTCGGCATGGCCTCGTTCTGCGGCGCAGTGGAGCGTCGTCCCGCCGTCTTTGTCCTGCGAATCCTTCGCCACCCACAGGTGACCGGATCCACGCTGTAGGGCCCGAACACCCAGATGAACTCTCTCAAGACTTCTCAAGATGAAGACCGCAGCGATTGCCACCGGAGATGACGAGGTTCACAAGCAGCATCCCGGACCTGTTGGTGAAGGCGTGCACAAAGTTTTCTCGGCAAATGGTCTCTTGCCTCCAGCCTTGCACGGGTGCTAGCTCCAGGGACACAGCTGGAGGGCCTCTGTTTCCCCTCGTCCTTCGACGACTCGAATTCATGGTGTGGCCACTTCCCAAGCTTGCCAGCCAGAAGTGCTTGCGCGCAGTGGCGAGAGAGTGATAAGCAAGAGCACATGTGCACTGGTTACATATCCTCCTCTGCTGGCCCCCCCCCCGGTCCGCTCCGCGACTCGTAGTGACCCCGCAGCCGGATGTCTGGTGACACGTCCACGACCTGCATTTGACACGAATGCGCAGGTGATGGAGATCAGGCCAGCGCATCATGGCCGAGCTCCCAAGGTGCGCGATGACGAACCTTCCGAAAGATAGCCACTGGTGTGTCGGATTATTCTCATGTTGTCATGCCTTGGGTCCTGAAACCCACCGTCCAGGCCTCCCGCTAACGCAAAACTTAGCCTTTCCCATGCCGCAGGCACATGCAGCAGGAGTGGATGCATTATTTCTGAGCGCACATCAAGGGCCGCTGAGTGGTACATCCCGTGCTTCCGGAACAGGTCTACAGGCTTCGGGCAAGACAAGTGCAAGCAAATGCCGAATGCTGAAGCAGCTTACAGTTCCACGGGCTCTTGCACGGGCTCTTCTGCGGTAGATGCACCCCGAGTGTGGATTGGCACAGACCTGCATCCCATCCCGAAGGTGTACATACCGGCAGCCACTCAAAAATCTGTAGCTGAAGCGGCTGATTATATATATATATATTACAAAGGCTGCTCCCTGCGGCCGCGCATGAACCAACGCCGTGCTGCAAATGATCATTGAAAAGGAGAAGGGGGATGTTCTTTTGCGGCAATAAAGGGCCTCAAGGCTTAAACATCAAAATGAAAAAACATCTCCACATGTTCCCTATGTAACGATACTTGATTTAGGTCGTGATACTACAGTGGTGCAGCAGTGATCGCGCTGAGCGAGTTACTCCCATGGCCGGTTTTGGAAACGGGCTCTTCTCTAGACCCTGTCAGTCAAGGGGTTAGGGTTAGGGGCTTGCATCACGCTATGACATGCATCTTGTGTTGAGCCTTTGAGTGGGGCAACTGCTTCTGGGAAGCACTTTGGTCCAGAGGCTTCTCGATGAAGCTTGACCTTTCGCTCCTCGTCTGTAGCTGCTGTCGGCACAAAACAGGTGTAGGCTTCTCTGAAAGAACTTTTATAATAGGTGCCTGAAAAGCTTGCACCTTGAATAAGAAGCCTCTACCCCAAACCATTCTCATATCATCGTTCAACTTTGAGATTATTAACAACATATCAGACATCTGGACACATTCCGTGTTGATATTGTACATATATATATATACACATATCATTATATATCCAACAAACCGGCTTCTGAAGATGCGGATATGTTGTCTCATCGCATCATTTCAACTACAGCCTGTGCCGGCTCAAAAGTTGTAGCTGACGTCTGAGGAGCACAAAGTTCACCTTCTTTTGCCCTTCTTCGGTGTAGAGGCTTGCAGCGGCGGCAGCAAGAGTTAGGGGCATCCATGCGTGAACCCTGCAAGCTGCACTCAACATGACCTTCGAAACCGACGGTATTACTCCGACATCGCGGCTGTAAGCCATGTCGATTTCGGTGCACGTCGCACTGTTGAGCGGTCAGACGCTTGCCAGCATTTGGCGAAACACCGCGGAGGGTGTCGGAGAGTTTCAGCTACATTGTTGAGGTAGCCCTGTTTGGCTTAACCTGGTTCTGTGCGTGAAAGAGGAGCCTGCGAATCTCGGCGGAGCTGGACTCGACCGTCGATGAATTGCAACTCCTGGCACAAGACAAGCGTCTCGGCTGCCGGATGATATGGGGCTTTTGTGTTGCTACACCACTTTCTTCTGACACTGAGCCCGCTTCAACCCCGAAGCCCTAAGCCACTTGATGTGCGCAGTGCGAAGCTGAAGGTCTGGGCTGCGCCTAGCTGGTCTAGTCGCCTCTGGCGGCCTTGGCACGGCCTTGAAGTTGATTTCGACTTTCGGCCTTTCGGACTGGGACTTCGAAACATGTAACAAATCTTGTGGCAATCTGCGGATTCCAGAGTTGGGAGCACAGTGCGTGGGTCTTGGGGCGCTACCATGCAGGGTTTGCAGCTTCAGCGCAAGGAATGTTGAACTAGGTGTAGAGTTGTAACTCCAGGCTATTGGAGGTTGTGGATGTTCTTAAGGGCTGTGGGATGCTAAAGGGCTTGGATTCTGCAGTGTCACATTTTGTGCAAATGCCAAGTTCCGGAAATATCGAAGGACAAATATCACTCACAATAGCTTCTCAGCCAAGCACTAAACACAGAGACAGGTGGCCTGCTACCTGCTGCGAAGAGGCTTGCAGACACCGGCTTCTCGGCAGCAGCTGTCGTCGAAGGAGCAGCTACCACTTCTGGAAGCACCTGTGTATGTGTGTGTGTGTGTGCGCGTGGGTGCGTGTCTTCTCATGTTAGCGATGTGCTTTTTAAACCGAATGTCCGGCGTTCTCCAAACGGAGCGGCTTCATGCTTCGCTGGGTTCTACGCACTAAGGCCTTCAGGAGGGAGACACACTGCAGGCGGTTGCTGTGCCTGCGGACCAGCCTCTTGGCACAGGGCGAGGTGCGGCAGTCTTCGTGCCTCGAGAAGGTCGTATTTGCGACGAAGTAGAAGCTGAGGGAGGCAGTTACATATAGTTTCATGCTGCTGATTGCTGTTTTCAGTGACTTCCTGAGCTCCTTGGGTGCTTCTGTGTCCTTCTTGCTGAGGCTAACTTCAACGACTGGTGCTTTTGCGCTGTTAAGGTCCGACGGATCTGTGGTAACCTGGGGTGATGATGATTTGGGAGGCGACTGCAGCGGCGTTCGGGATCAGCTGCGAGCTGTGAAGAAAATCTACGCCACGGACTACTCCTTCGCTGCCCTTCTGTCGGACGGATCCGTAGTAACCTGGGGAAACCCACTTTGTGGGGGAAGGAGCCGGTTGCCTGCACTGCAGGGCGTGTGCGAGATCACGGGCTCTGCTGCTTCCTTTGCGGCCCTCCGGGAGGATGGATCGGTAACGACGTGGGGGGGAGCTTTTGCTGGTGGTGATAGCAGTGGGGTGCAAGAACAGCTGCAAGGGGTTGTGCTGATCTGCGCATCTTATGGAGCTTTTGCCGCAGTCCTCGAGACCGGGGCTGTCGTGACATGGGGGGACCCATACAGTGGAGGAGAGAGCTCAGAGGTCCAGTCAAAACTGAAGGATGTGAAGAGCCTCCGGGCCACCCACAGAGCTTTTGCTGCGATTCTCAGGTGCGGCTCAGTAGTCACCTGGGGTTCTCGCACTGAAGGCGGTGACAGCAGCAGGGTGCAGGATCAGTTGGTTGGTGTGTCACAGCTCGAAGCTTCCAATGCAGCATTTGCGGCCACTCTGCAAGATGGCTCGGTACTGGCCTGGGGCAGCGCTGACCACGGAGGAGACACCTCTTCCGTCCAAGGGCAACTGCATAATGTGCACAAGATCGCAGCGACTGGCTACGCTTTTGCAGCGATGACGGATGGGTCCTTGGTTACGTGGGGAAATGCAGGAAATGGTGGCGACAGCAGGGCGGTGCAACCCAAGCTTCGTCCTTCCGTCACGAAGTTGGCAGCTTCAGTCGGCGCTTTCGCAGCCATTTTGAAGGACGGGAGAGTGGTGACCTGGGGGAATGCGGAGCGCGGTGCCGACAGTAGCAAGGTGCAGCGGCTTCTAAGGAACGTGGAGCAGATCCAGGCCAGCTACGGGGCCTTTGCTGCGATATTATCCAATGGATCGGTGATAACCTGGGGAAACGACCTCTTCGGTGCTGACAGCCGGAGTGTCGCGGAAGAGCTCAGAAATGTCAGGCCGAATGGGTTGCGCAGGCTTCGTCGGACAATTGCCAGGAATGGCCAGAATTTTTCACGTGTTGGGCAGCTCCTATAGCTTTAGAAAAATGGCTTACTTCACAGCTCATATGAGGATCCAGGACAATCCAGGATACAGGCCTGAAAACTTGGTGGAAGTGGCAGGAAGATACTGTACTTCACCCCGGAACCCTCAACCTGCCCCGAAGCCCAACTCCCCTGTTGAGAGGGGTCAGTCTTGCGCATCGCACCTGTGAAGCGTCAACAAGGACCAGCCAGATAGGAAAATCAAACCCGCATCCCCAATTGCACGAGGAGCTGCACGACAGTGGTAACGGCCAGCTTGAGTCTATGAGATGTCTCGGGGAGCAAGTCACTGAAGCCATAAATTGTTCTGAGCAACAAGCTGCTGCATCAATTCGGGCTCGAAGCGCCGTGACGCCCCCGCGCCCCTGGGGAGGCCGGAAGGTGAGAGTGATGAGGCTTGCCCAAGTGTCCTACAGGTCAGGCTTTGTCATGATCCTTTTATCCGTAGGACGCCGGCCTTGAAGAATCACTTACATCCTCCAGCCAGATGAAGAGCACTGAGCATATCCATTGTACTCACGACATTGACGATGTAAAGAGGATTAAAAATAGGTGATGGTACTAGTCGTAGTGGCAGTGGGAGTAGGAGTGGGAGCAGTAGTCGTAATCGTCATCGGCGCCGTAGTCGTAGCAGCAGCACCACACCACCAACAACAAAAACGACTACCACTGCGACTCTTCCCTCTACTTCTACTCCTACTACTACGGCTGCTACTACTAC